GATTAGCTCTTGATATCATCTTAGAGTCCAAAAATCTTACACTACACTTTGGTTGCATACTTATAACATAAAACTTCAGTTTTAAAGACAAACAATGAAAACATACAACAAATACACAAAGAGCTCTCTACTCTACAATGGTAGGGTGACAAAACCAGTGAGGCATCTAATAGGATACCAGCCACTCCACAAACTTGCAGGCACCATGCCTCACCTTTTTTTTTCCCTCTATTGCACATAGCTGTAAATTTGCATGGTGGCTAACACAAAAGTGAAAATTAGGTTGTTAATAATGCATGACTGTTAAGGATTAACTACATGCTTACATATATCCAAGAGCTGTTCCTCTCCCAACAGGCAGTGCTGGTACATTGGAAAGAACACTATCCCAAGATTTAAGAGATTTTTGTTGTGTCATGGCTACACCTGTAATAACCACTCAATCATGGTCAAATTATTTCACCTCTCTGACCTTTATTTTTTTCATTTGCAAAATAAAAGTCTTGGACTAGATGATTTCTTAGGTATCATCTAAGTTCTGTCATTTTCTGATTCTATGATGGATAGTTTGATGTCTCCTTTTTCTCATTGGCATGGATACTCCTATTGGTACAGATTGTGACCCATCTGTCATATAATATGATTACTGTTTGTGTGTTTCCATAAGACATTTATAAAGAATACACTCAGTGTGGTGGAGGCATTCCTCTGGTTCTTTGATTTTTCATGTCCCCCTTGGTTATCCATTCCAACCCCTTGATACAGCTTTTTGCTTCCTTACAATCCAGGCCTTGCACCATGGCCCTGTATTTTGGCTTCAGTGGGTACCCTGAGTTGCTGAGCTAACTGCTCTGGACTTCTCTTAATTGAATTTCCTTCTCTTGGCCAGAAAGAAGGAAAAACTATCTTTTTCTATTTTTAATGCATATAACTTGTATTTAGTTTCTTTTTGTTTTCCTATATACTTTGACCATCCAGAAATTTTTGATAGAGAGAAAATAAAATTCTTGTCATTTAAAAACTCTACACAGAAATTTCATTCCTTTATAAATCTATCACATTCCTTTATTTGAAAAACCTCAGAAAGGCCAGAAATTGTTTCCAGGACAGAAAGTCAACTTTGCACCATTAAAAGGGAAGTGAATTGCCCAGGTGCTGATTGCAAATAATCTAATCCTACTGGAGCAAATACTTTCCATTATATCTTTTATGGACTTTGGAGAGAACTGTTTGCAGTACTGTCCCCTATTTTCAGAAGAAGGTGCCTAAGAAAGTATGGTGTTCAGAGAGAAGATATGTTAATGTATATAATAATTGCAGTGAAGTAAACATCCTGATAACACAGATATATTAAATTTAGATATAAAAAACTTTCAAGGCAGAAGAAAACTTGGAAAGTGCCCAATTTAATCCCTTGATTTTACACAAGGAAACTGAGATACAAAGAGGCCAGATAACTTTCACCAACCCAAGTTATTATTGATAGTGAAGTCTAAAATTCAGATCTTTTGACACCTAGTCCAGTGAATCTATTACGCTCTGTTCTCTAAGATTAAAATGAGAAGAGAAACCCTTTGTATTAAAAGAACAGCAAACATTATTTTTTTCTTCCCCTGTTCCCAATGCTCCTCTTACCTCAAACCCTTCCTTAAGAGGCCAGAAAAGAATAAACATGAACACTGGGCAAGTTTCATTTGGTATACAATAAAGAAAAGAGGTCATCCTCATTTGATGATGCCACACATCAATGAGAACATTATAACTCCCTCTCCTTACCTCTTCAAGAGGAATATGAGACTGAGTTTAAAAAAAATTCCTTGAGCTCAAAAAGACAGAAATGAATGTCAAATGAAATACAAAAATGCCAATTCTTCTAACTGCAAGGGCCTAAAAAGAATGTTTCCTCTTTCATTTGAAAAGTGGGATTTTTTTCTTTTGCAATTCATTACAACTACTACTTTTCATCTTTGTTTTTTTTTTATCCACAAGGAGTACTAATACCTGTATTGCTTTGCTTTTAAATTCGCAATTCATAAATACCTCATTTAATTTGACCTTACAAATTCTCCATCATGGGCACATTCATTGTACTGGGGGACATCTTCTAAGAATAATAATTATGAGAAGGAAAAAAACCATCTTAAGTGATCAATAAATTAAAAAGGTCTGAAAATATTCACAATATGCAATACTTGTTGACCACTGACTTCTTTTTTCTTTTTTTAAATTCATTTTGAATTTAAATACATAAAGACAAAAAAAAAAAAGAAAATTTACATGTACACAACACAACCTAAAAAGAGAATTCACTACAAAACCATAAATTTACATTTCATACTATTTACTTTTTTTGGGGAAAACTACTTAAGTACTACTCATCATTTTCAAAACTGATCTGCTTTCTGTGCTTCCTTCTACATTTTATTTTATTCTCTGTTGTGTACTTTTTATATTTTTCAATTCCTCTCCTACCCTAGAGATGGCTACCATTAGACACAAATAGGTACATATGTGTAAAATCATGCTATACATTCTGTTTATCAGTTATCTTTCTAGAGGCAGATAACATTTTCCTTTGTAGGTTCTTTGTAGTTAATTTGGGTATTTACAACAGTCAAAATGAGTTAGTTGCTCAAAGCTGTTCTTAAAACAAAATTGCTATTACTGTGTACAGTGCTCTCTTGATTCTACTCATTTCTCTCTTCATTATTTTGTGAAGTCTTTCCATGTTTTTCTAAAATTAACAAACTCATTGTTCCTTACAGTACAGTAATATTCCATCACAGTCATATACCACAACTTGTTTAGTCATTCCCTAATTGATGGGCATCCCCACAATTTCCAGTTCTTTGCCACCACAAAGAGAGCTACTACAAATATTTTAGAACATATAGTTTCTTTTCCTTTTTCTCTAATCATCTTGGGAAACAGACCTAATAGTGGTGTTGCTGAGTTAATGGTTATAGGCAACTTAATAGCTCTTTGGGCATAATTCCAGAATGCTTTCCACAATGGTTGGATTAGTTCATGATTCCATCAACAGTGAATTAGTGTCCCAATTTTTCCACATCCCCTCCAACTTTTCTTGCTTTTCCCTTCATCTGATAGGTGTAAAGTGATATTTCAAGGTTGTTTTATTTTGCATTTCTCCAATCAATAATGATTTAGAGCACTTTTTTTCATATGACTACAAATCATTTTGATTTCATCAGAAAACTGCCTGTTCATATTCTTTGACCATTTATCAATTGGGGAATGACTTGTATTCTTATAGACTTGACAAAGTTCTTCATATAGTTGGGATATGAGACCTTCAACTGAGAAATTGTCTATAAAACTTCCCTCCAATTTTCTGCTTTCCTCCTGATCTGGGCCACATTTGTTTTATTTGTATAAAACCTTTTTAATTTAATGTAATTAAAATTATCCATTTTATGCCTCACAATGATCTCTCTTCTTTATTCATAAATTGCTCTCCTATTCATAAGCCTGACAAATAATATGTTCCATGTTCTTCCAATTTTCTTATAATATCTCTCTTGATATCTAGGTCATTTATCCATTTTGACATTATTTTAGTGAATGGTGTGAGATTTTGGCTTATGCCCAATTTCTGTCAGACTACTTTTCAGCTTTCCTAACAGTTTTCAGCAAATAATGAATTCTTATCTTAAAAACTTGGTGTATATTGTATATCTACTCTGTTCCACTGATCTACCTTTCTACTTCTTAGCCTTTACCGGATAGTTTTGATAATTGCTGTGTTATAATATAGTTTAAGATTTGGTACTACTAAACCTCCTTACTTTATGTTTTCTTTTTCATTAGTTACTTTGATATTCTTGACCTTTTGCCCTTCCAAGTGAATTTTATTATTTTTTATGACAAAATAATTTTTTTAATATTGCAATTTGGATGGCTTTGAATAAATAGAATAATTTAGGTAAGATTGTCTTTATTATATTGATCCTGCCTACCCATGAACAATTGATGTTTCTCTAATTATTTGTTATTATAGTCATTGTGTGTATTGTTTTCTTGGCTCTGCTTATTTTATCCTTCATCAGTTCATGTAGATCTTACTATGTTTTTCATATTCATCACATTCCTTTTTTTTTCTTGGATCACAGAAATCTTCCATTACATTCATGTACCACAATTTGTTTAGTCATTCCCCAATCGTCATCTACTTTATTTTTAATTCTTTGTAATCTCAAAAATGATGTTATAAATATTTTGGTTTATATGCATAATTTCTTCTTACTAATAGGGTGTGAATCCAGCAACACAAACCCTCAGTGAAAGGGAATGGACATTTTATTTGTATAATTCCAAAATGCTTCTCTATATGACCATACCCACCAACAACACTCCTTTGTCTCTAAGACATCCTACTTTTGAATATGCTTATTTAGACATTAGTTGTATCCTCCCTTTATACTATAAGTTTTCTGAGGACAGTTACCATGACATTTTGCAATTCTACATATCCAGTAAGAAGCACAATGAACCAAACTTAGCATGTACTTAATATATGTTTGTTGAATTGCATTCTTGGAAATAATTTTCTTTGAACTCTTTTGGGGAATTAAATCAGCCTTTTCACATGAGGTTGATTAGCAAAATAGTTTTATTAGTAAAATATGGTTCTTTAAAAGAAGGTATTTTACATGAGAAAAATGACAATGAACAGCAATTTCAATATAAATACTACAAAACAGTCTTGTTCTCCCAATACATAATAAATATAAAAATGTACTAATTAGAATAAGAATAAATAAATAAATATGTATTATAAAATATTCAAATATTAAGGCCAGGTGAGAATTCTTTGTATTAAAGTCCCCCTTTCAGTTCATGATGGAAGTTTATGTTTTTAAATAATAGAGTAATTTAAATATTTTTAGTTGATACAGAAAAAAAAATTCCCTAATGAATGAATGCTTAGTTTTAAGGAAGCAGTCAATTATTTGAGGAACTGAGAGTTCATTTCTTCTTCTTCAGTCCCTGAATTTCCTTGTGAGTTTGCTCATGAACAGAAAATATTTCCTTATTTCTATTCGGATGAGTTCCCAGGCACAGTGGCTGTACTTTTTGCCTTCCAGGTACTGGCTCATCCCTTGGAAGTAGCTCCTTAGGGCCAGCCTGGAGTTCTTACTTCCTAAAGAAGGCTCTTCCCACTCCACATTCTGTGCAAGACACCTCTCCAGTTTCTCCATCTGTTGATCCAGTCCAATGAGCAGTTGCATGACCTGGGTCTGATTCCAGGCAGCAGGAGCAGCATTCTGGCTGAAGAGGGTGAAGATCTGCTGGAGCATCTCATGAACAATGACTTTGGCATCTTCCCTCTGGAGCTGGTTGCCTTCCATGGCTTCCTTTGGGAAGTTGAAGTTGATCCTGTCCTTCAGGCATGGCACCAGGGAAAATGTGCTCATTTGGTTCAGAAGTGAGAAGTCTTCCTGGAGGCCCTGAGACAGGTCACATCCCAGGGAGCAGAGGATGCTGGAGTAGAGCAGCACCAGGGCAACTGACAACAAGCTGCAGAAGGTCATGATGATGCTGAGGATAGTTTGGGGCTGGCTGAGCTGAGAAACCAGGGAGTCTTTGTCTCAATGTCTCAAATTATCTGGTCTCTGGGCCACTCTCCCTTAAATAGTGCCGAATGTAATTTTCATTTTTTAGCATGGGATTTCCCTTTACTTTCTACTTTCTTTTACTTACTTTCTGTAATAGTCATAGAAGATGTCATTAAAATACCTCTTTTCCTATATTTGTGGAACTGCAACCAAATTTTCTCTTAAAGAGCGTTTACAGATTAAGCTCTTTATGGTGATTTATTTTGTTTTACTTTTTTTAATCTCATTTACTATTAGTGCACATATAGTCATTTGCTAAGTTCTATCAATCTTATCCCTAAAATGTTTCTTGCTTTTGTCCTCCCCAGACTGCCTGTATTGCTGCCACCTGCATTTAGACATTCATCGACTGTATTCCTCCCTTGGTTTCTGTGATACTGCTCTTTTCACTTCACTCCCTGGCCACCTGTTCACCAGTCCTGCTACCACTTAGACCAGAAACTATTTTCTGGAGAAGATAACTCTTTCACCCCTAGAATTCACAACATGTGACCTAGCTGTCCTCATTGATGTTTGCTTCACATCATTTACTCCACTGAGGCCTACACACAATAATATTTGACTTGTCTGTCCTGTTGTCTTTTCATCAGCCATGTCTGTATCTTCCTTTTTGCCCTTCTTTTCCCCTCAGAATAGTAAAAAGAAAATTAATGAAGAAAACAAACAGAGAGAAATTTCTTAAAAACAGAAAGAAAAGAGAAAACTAATGAATTTTAGAATTTGGGAGCAGATATGTTAAACTAACCATATAGTTGAAATAGAAGGGAAAATAGAGGAGTATAAATAATACATAAATGAAATAAATCAATAATTTAATTAAAAACACCAAACTAGACATAGGACTAGTAAATAGGAATGGTGTTGAGATTAAGATAAGAAAAGAATCTGTAGGAATATGGTTGCATCAAAGTAGTTAAAGCAAAATTATGCATGGGGACAAAATGTTGAATTAAAAAAAAGAGGAAAAAATTTAAAATCTAAAGAAAACCCCAGCATACTAGTGTCAAAAGTAGGTAAAAAAACAGTCTTGACGATAATTACTTTAAGTTTGAATTGGATAAACAATCCAATAAAATGAAAATAAGTCGTAAGCTGCCTTCAAGGAGTTTGTATTCCATGAGGGTTTCCAGTAAAACTGAGATAGAAGAGAACTCTAAGAATTAGGAGGTAGGGAGGAGGAGTCAGGAAAGGCTTCATGGAGGAGGTAACAGCTGAACTGAGAACCTAGGGAAAAGACAATTCTTAGAGACAGGGAGGAGAAAGAAGTGCATTTTAAGCATGAGGAGAAGGTGCCCAATTGCACAGACATGATAGATGTAGTGTTGGAGGTCAGGAAATGGCCATTAATCTGGTTTGACTAAAGGAATCCATAATCCAGTTGAACTTGATCATACAACTTTTGATAGGGAGTAGTAGAAAAGGAAGCAGGAAAGGTAGATGAGAGCCAAATTGTGGAGGATTCTAAATGTCAAGGAAACAAGTATATAACTTATTCCATAAGCAATGGGAAGCAACTGAAGGTTTTGGAAGTGAGATAACATGATCTATGCTTTAGGAAAGCTGTTTTGGCAGCTCTGTGGAGAATGGATAGGAGAGCAGAGAGATTGGAAGACAGGAGCTCAGTTAGGGGCTACTCTTACAGTCCAGGTGATGAGGTATTTGTAAAGAGAGAGGCTTGACTGGATAGCAGGACCCTCATTAGAGAAACATTGTGGAAGCAGAATTGACCAGATTTGGCAACTGAATGGATTTGATGGCCAAAATCCTGTGGAAAGATCAAGTATGACTTGTTATGAACCCCAGTTACTATGAGCATTTTTGAAAAGAAACAAGAAAATTTTCAGGAGAGAAAGCACTAGAATCATAGATTTAGATCTGGAATGGACTTTAGAAGTCATCTATTCCAAATTATAAATTTTGTAGAAGTAGTCCTAGGGAAGTTAAGTAGTCTAAGGTGATAAAGTAAACAGCCAGAGCCAAGATCTGAACCCAAGTTGTCTAACTCTATTTCCGGAATCACGTACTCTGTATGTGTGCCTCCCATTTAGGAGGAAAGACAAAGAGCTTTATTTGAGAGATAATGATTTAGGGATGCTTAGGTTACATGTAGGAGAATCTAACCAATAGTCAGTGGCAATTCCTCACAGGAGCTCAGTAGAGAGACCAAGACTGGAAAGTTTCAAAGTCATTGACATAGAAGTAATACTGTAAGCCATAAGGGCTAATGAGATTTCCAGTGAAATGGAGACAGAAGAGGAGAGGGACCAGAAATAGATCTGGGAAAAATCTACTCTTTGAGGGCAGAAAATGAATGAAAATCTCTAATGATACTAAGGCTCAAATAGGAGAAAAATGAATGTAAAACACTAATTATGCTTTATCATTCATTTCTAAAAATTTTGAGCTTCAAATTTTTTCCTTTCTTCAAGTTCCTCCCTCACCCATTGAAAAGGCAAGCAGTATGGTATCAATTATATAGATGAAACCACGTAAAACATATTTCCATATTAGCCATTTGCAAAAAAAAGCAAGAAAAAAGTCAAGGTAAGTGAAATATGTGTATATATGTAATGTGTGTGTGTGTGTGTATATATATATACATCAATATGTATATATATATATACACATCAATATATATACTATACACTATATATATATATATATACACATCAATATATATCATCCCTTGGAAGTAGCTCCTTAGGGCTGATGTATATATATATATACATCAATATATATACTATACACTATATATATATATATATATACACATCAATCTGCACTCAGAAGTCATAAGTTTTCTCTGAGGAGGTACATAGCATTTTTCCATCATGAGTCCTTTGGAATTATCTTGCATCATTGTCTTGATTCTAGTAGTCAAGTCTTTCATTGTTGATCAGCATTATAGTATTGATTGCTGTTACTATGTACAATGATCTTCTGGTTCTGCTCACTTCACTTCATATGAGTGTTCCTGGGTTTTTGTGAAACCATCCTGCTCATCATTTCTTATAATACAAAAATATTTTATCACAATCATAAGCCATGACTTGTTCAGTCATTCTCCAACTAATTGGCATCCCCTCAATTTACAATTCTTTAACATCATAGAAAGAACTGTTATGAGTATTTTTGTGCATACAGGTACTTATCCTTTTTCTGTCATCTTTTTGGGAAATAGACCTAGTAGTATTATTGCTGAATCAAAGGGTATAATCCTCTCTGCCCTGGAACTGTGACCTGGAACTGGGTAATAGGCAATGGAGTTGTGAAGTGGCACCCAGTCCTGTGTTCAGCCCTAACACAGGGGTCCCATGTAAAGGTTTTCTGAACAGTTTTCTAATCCCCTTAACCATCTCTGAGTTGAAAGCTCCTGAAGCTGCTTCTGTTGCTGTTGCTGTTGCTGCTGCCTTGAAGGCTCACAGCTGGTATTGCTGTTGCTTGCACTCTGGGCTGGTTCCTGCCTAGACATCACAGACATCTTCTACGGACCTCCTAAGTTGTCTTGGGCTGGGAAAAGGTCTCATCCTGACCTTTTGCTAGTTGTGCTGCTCTAGAATTCTATCTGTAGCATTATTGTAAAGTTGTTTGGAGGGGAATGTTGGGAGCTGTTATGCTTTCTTTGGTATGCCATCTTGGCTTTGTCCCTGAAAAAGTATTTATTAATCAATTATTATATGCTGAATACTGTGCTAAGAGCTGAGGATGCTAATTAACAAGTGAAGAGTCCCTGACCTCATGGAGCTTCCATTTTTTTGTGAGGTAATTGGGGTTGTCACTTGCCCAGTCACACAGCTAGTGAGTGTTATGTATCTGAGGCCAAATTTAAACTCAGGTCTTCTTGACTCCAGGGCCAGTGCTCTATCCACTGCACCACCTAGCTGCCCTGAACTTCCATTGTTTTAAAAAATATTTTTTTTCAATATTATCTGAATTTCCCACTACATCCTTCTTACCATCTCTTTTCAGAGAGTTAGTCCTTATGATAAAGAAGAAAAAAAAGGATGAAAAAAAACTCAGCAAAATTAACCAATGTATTGAAAAAGTCTGATATTATGTGCAATATACTCTAAAAATGCTCCCCCATCTCTCCAAATAATTGGGGGATTGCGTCTTCTCATATCTATGCTTTGAGACCAAATTGGGTTATTTTAATTTTGTAGCATTCAATTTTCATGATTTTGTTGGAGGTGGTGTTTCTTCTTTCCATTTACATCATAAGTTATTTGGTCTATATTCTTTTTCATTGTTTTGTTAACTTCGCTTGAATCAGTTCATGCTTCTCTGTATTTATCACATTTACTGCCATTGTTACCAGAAACCTGTCTAAGCCTCAGATTCTTCATCTGTAAAATGAATTGACTAGGCCTAGTGGTCCCACATCTATAATCCCAGCCTCTAGGGTTTAGGGATTTTAATAATCTATCACTTTCCTTTATGTGAAAAACCACAAGGACAGAAACTATTCCAAGGACAGAAACCTGGCTTTGCTCCATTATGAGGCAAGTGAAGAGGGCAGGTGCTGATTCCAAAAAATGTTATCACTTGAGAGTAAATCAAAGTTGCATTAGTTACAAAGTTCAATTATTGTCTTTGATAGGCTTGGGATAAAACAGTAAGCAGGACTTTTCCCTATTTCATGAAAGCATGAGATCCAGAGAGAAGATAAGTGGATGCATGTAATAATTGCTATGATACAAGCATCCTCATAAAATAAATATATCAAATTCAAATATCAAAAACTTTCCAGGGAGCAGCTAGGTGGCGCAGTGGATAGAGCACCAGCCCTTGAATCAGGAGGACCTGAGTTCAAATCCGGTCTCAGACACATAATACTTACTAGCTGTGTGACTTTGGGCAAGTCACTTAACCCCAATTGCCTCATTAAAAAAAAAAAAACCTTTCCAGGCAAAAGTGGCCTTGGAATTTGCTAAATCTAATCCCCTCAGTCTGAAGATGAGGAAACTGAAGCAAAGAGGGGCCAGGTAAATTTCCTTAAACCAGTTAATCAGTGATAAAGCCAGCACTAGAACTCATCTCTTGATGCCCAATCCAGTGATTCCGTTACATCAGGGTCTTGAAGATCAAATGACAAAAAGAGAAACCATTAATGTTAAGGAGTACAAACATTATTCTTTTTCCTTCCTCTTACCACAAGCCCTATCTTAAAGGCCAGAAAAGGGTGAGCATAGACATGGGGCAAATTTCCATCAATGCACCACAGAGAAAAGATATGATCCTTGTTCAATAATGCCACAACTTCATGAATGTATAACAGCTCCCTATCCCTACTTCATGAATGAGAATACAGGGCTAAGCTAAAAGAATTGTGCCTGAACAGAAAATGGCATAGCTGAATGTCAAATGAAATAGAGAAAAGTCACCTTCTCTACCTGCGAGGTAAATGTCAATTTCTCTACCTTTTAGGTACACTAAAAGGGATATTTTCATGACTCACTTGAAAAGTGGGATGGTTTCTCCTATATATAATATCGTTACTGCCTACAATCTTTTTTTTCTTTTCATTCATGATTATAAATGCCTAAGCTACTTTCCTGTTCACTATTTACTTAACACCTCATTTACTTTGATATTTGTATATTTGACCCTGTAAATTCAGCACTCAATATACTAGGAGTCATCTTCTAATAATAATGATAATAATTATTCATAATAATGATAGCTGACATTTATATAATAGTTTATTAATATCATGTCATTTTGTAAATTTTAGTTACTTTTTTTGTATAATTGCAAACTCCTTTCTAAAATTGTCATATCATTTCACAATTCCACAGCTTTGTTTCTAATATATCTTGACTTTGGACACACATATTTTGAATACTGATTGTATCCTTTCTTTAGGTTAGACTGTAACTCATCTGAAGGCACTATGACTATGTCTTTTTGCACCTTAATATATCCACTGATTAACACAATGCCTTGAACTTAGATGTTTTAATAAGTTTTTGTTGAATGCATTCTTGCAATGGATATTGAGTGAATTCTTATGGATTATTGAATCAGTCTTTTCATACGAGGTTTATTAATAAAATAGTTTTATTAGTAAAATAGAGTTCTTTAAAAGAATGCATTTTATATGAAATATACAGCAATTAACAATAGGCTCAATATAAATGTTACAAAAACAACCATGTTCCTTTTATGAACAATAAATATGAATATTATAAGAATAAACAGTATAAATAAATAAATAGACAAATAAATAGAAGCCTGTGAATTATAAAATGTTCAGTTACTTAACACAGATAATGAGTCTCCATATTCAAAGCCCTTTGTGATATAGGAATGGCAGCTTATATTGTTTTAAAAATCATTCAGTTAACACAGATGATTTTCAATTGAGGTGGAAACAATTTTTTTTAATGATTGCTTAATTTTAGGAAGCAACCAATTATTTGAAGAACTGAAAGTCTATTTTTTCTTCCTCAATCCCGGAGGTTTTTTGTCACTTTACTCATGAACAGGAAGACCCTCCTAATCTCTACCCGTAAGATCTCCCAGGCACAGTGGCTGTACTCTTTGCTCTGCAGGTATTGGCTTATCCCTCTAAAGTAATTCTTCAGGGCCAGCATGGGGTTCTCACTCCCCAAAGAAGGCCCTTCCCTCTCCACATCCTGCCCAAGGCATCTCTCCAGTTGTTCCAGCTGCTGATTCAGTCCAATGAGCAGTTGTATGAGCTGGGTCTGATTCCAAGTGGCAGGAGCAGCATTCTGGCTGAAAAGGGTGAAGATCTGCTGGAGCATCTCATGAACAATGACTGTGGCATCTTCCCTCTGGAGCTGGCTGCCCTCTATGGCTTCCTTTGGGAAGTTGAAGTTGGTCCTGTCCTTCAGGCATGGCACCAGGGAAAATGTGCTCATTTGGTTCAGAAGTGAGAAGTCTTCCTGGAGGCCCTGAGACAGGTTACATCCTAGGGAGCAGAGGGTGTTGAAACAGAGCAGCACCAGGGCAACTGGCAACAAAGTCCAGGAGGTCATGGTGACACTGAGAATAGTTTGTGGCTGGCTGAGCTGAGAGACCAGTAAACCTTTGTCTCAGTGAATTGAATTATCTGTCTTCTAGGTTACTTTCTCTTAAATAGTGCTGAATTTAATTTTCATTACTTTGCATGAGATTTCCCTTCACTTTCCACTTTCTTTTGCTTACTTTCCTTATTGGTCTTAGAAGATGTCATTACAACCTTTGAAATATTTGTTGAACTGCAACCAAATTTACCCTTAAAGAGAGTTTAAGCTCTTTGTGGTGAACCATCATATTTTACTTTTTTTTTCTCACTCCCTTGAGGGCACATATAGTTATTTGCTAAGTGTAATTAATTTTTTTCCCCTGGCATGTTTCTTGCTTCTGTCCTCTCCTTACTACCTCCATTGTCACCATCTACATTTAGACCTTAATCAATTCTCATCTTCCCTTGGTTTTAATGATATTCTTTTCTTCTCTTCATTCTCTGGCCTCCTACTTATCAGCTCTCCAGCTACTCAGACCAGAAATCATAGTCTGCTGAACTTAACTCCTTCATTCCAAGAATTTCTACCCTGTGACCTAGCTCTCTTGATTAATAGTTGCCTCTCATCATTCACTAGATCTAAGCCTTCCTCCAGTCGTATTTGACTTTACTGTCCTGCTATCTTCTCATTAGCCATGTATATAATCTCTCTGGCCTGCCTTCCCTCTCCTCACTTTTCAAATCTGGGGGCATAATCAGGTTAACCTTGTCATTGTTCTTGAAAAGGGTATAGCAATCTATTCCCCCATGGCTTCCCTGAGCATATCTGTATCATTTCATAACAAAATAGTCCTCTCTGTCCATCACTTCCCTAGATGTATTATTTCCAATTACTAGAACATAAGATCCTAAATAAGGGTTGAAGGATCAATTAGCAGTGTGGACAAGATATTTTTTAGAGACCTAATGAACTCCAAGAAGAATTAGGCACTAGATACAGAGCAATGAATTCACAAGACAAAACAGGATCATAACTTGACAAAGTAAAATCTTTATGAATGAACACAAGATTGCTAATCCTTAAAGTGCTCACTCCTCAATTTTTCACCACCACTCTGCATGAGCTGGCCTAGTACATACAAATTAAACTGGGTACTTGTGCTTTGGAAAACACTGGAATCCCTGGTTCATATAGTGACTAAAGAATATTCCCACAGAGAAGAAAAGTCTGTTTGCAATGGGAATAATGACTTTGTGATAAGAATTTACAGAGAATACTTGGTACAGTTGGCAATCCCTTCTTTGTGAGAGTGCTATGTCTCTCAACACACCATCTTGGTCAATTAGAAGAGCTATGTGAACTCCTGGGGACAGCTGGCTTTCAGAATGGTGTGAGCATATGCATGTGTGTGCTCACATGCATAGACTCATAGATGAGATTATAGAATCAATGGGAAGGAGCACAATCATCCAGAAGACAAGCACTATCAGACAAAGCAAAAATAAAATTTCTCATTATCATTAGAGAAAAACAAAGACCATATTTAATGGAAGCATAAAAATTAACCAATTAAGCGATGTATGCACTATGTGGTAGAGCCTCAAAATCCATAAGGAAAATTAACTGAATTGCAATAAGACAAAGACATTTACATGAGCTTATTGAATTGAATTTATTAACACATCACAATATGCCTTTTTGAGGATTCAATGATTCAACAGGAATGATTTCTAAAGAGTCTCCTTGCTCCAACATTCTATTACTCTGTGATTTATGCCTAGTCTGAAATGACAAATAAGTTTCCTGTGAAGTCAGATTGGTAAGACTTCATCCCTTGGGAGCCAAGAAAAACTTTTAATAATATGAGATTGAGCTCAATTCTTACTCTCAATGTGAGGCAGAGTAAGTCAGGGACTTTCTGTCCCATGGATTCCCCTGTGATATTTGCTAAAACGTGGAATATTCAGGATTCTATTGATGTTGTAGGGTGCTCATACAAATAGCTTGTCTTGGTATTTTCTTTTTGTTTTTTTTTGTTTTGTTTTGTTTTTTTTTTAGGCAACTGGGGCTAAGTGACTTGCCCAGGGTCACACAGCTAGTAAGTGTCAAGCGTTTGGTCTGAGGACAGATTTGAACTCAGGTCCTCCTGACTTCAGGGCCAGTACTCTATCCACCGCCCCACCTAGCTGCCCCTTGGTATTTTCTTAGTGATTGCACATGTATATGTTAATTATTGGTATCCTTCAAACTCCACAAAATCCCCCTCATCTCTCTGATTTAGCCCCTGATCCAATTCTTTTGCTTGCCTAGGCTCTAGGCTTTACATCATGGCCCTGTGGTTTTGGTTTCTCTGGGCACCCTGAGTTGCTGAGTTCACTGCACTGGGTTTACCTTAGCTAAATTTAGTTCACTTGACCAGAATGGAAAGTACTATCTCCACTGCTATTTTCACTATGTGTAACATGAATTTACTTTCCTTTTGATTTCTCATATTATTTTTGCCTTTGAGGAATTTTGATGTGGAGAAAATAGAATTCTGATGCTTTAAAAACTCCAAACAGAAATTCCATACCTCATTTAAATCTATTACCTTTCTTCATTTGAAAAACTTCAAGAAGGGGCCAAAATTGCTCTATTTTTCTTGATGGTACCACTGGTGAACTGGTTCATTATGGAGTCATTTACGATTCCTTTCTCTTTCATTCTCCACATGCAGCTAATTTCCCAATTCTGTTGTGTCAGTCTCTGCAATATGCCTGTCTCAACTTCCACATCCTATTCAGGTCCTGATCTCTTCTTGCTAAGGCAAACTGTTCTTTCTGACTCCAGGTTATCCTCTGTCCAGTCCCTCCTCTATCAAATTTCCTGACTAATCTTACATTGATACAATCATGTCATTCTTACACAAACACTCCAAGTGGCTCCCCATTGCCAATCTTGGGGAGATAGCTTGGAAGAGAGAAAATAACACTAGACTTGGAGATAGGTGACACCTGGGTTTATGTCTCACCTTTTGCACTTACTATATGACCTGTCTCACTCTGTGTCATAAAGTTGAGCATTCTATTAAATAATGTATATAAAGTGCGTCACAAACCTTAAAGGGTTTAATAACCAGGGATATTCCAGAGCCTGCTCATACCAGATCATTCTAGTCAATTGTTAAATTTGAAGCATGAGTATGTATGCTTCAGAAATTGACAAACACTACAGATCAGGGCTTGTTAGTTGTTTTATTGATTGCCTAGATTTAAGAAAATGATGGAAGATATGTGGATAATGCAGATTAAACTTGAAAGTATGTCATGTGTTGGGGTTTTTTTTTTGAGAGCTGGTTGTTAGCATTTACCAGCCCACTTATGTTTACTGTAAGTTTTTATTATATGACAGACACTGTGGCATATAATATAAAATGCTAGATTTAGACCCAGAAGGTTTGAGTTCAAATCCCACTTTAGATAATTATTAGTTACTTAAATTACTTAAGCTCTCATAATCTCAGTTTATTCTATTAAAATGGATATAATAATATTTATACTCATGAAGTTAATAATAATAATACAATTATAATAATACTTATATAGTGCTTTAAAGCTTGCAAAGTTCTATGAAGAAAATTGTTTGCAAACTTTAAAGAACTTCCTAAAATATGAATTATTATTTTCCAAGTATAGATTCATGACATCAGCAGGGTTTAAGCTTACCTCATAGTTCTTTCCATGTTCTTTATTTTCTAGCCAAAATAGAACTCTGTCCCTGTTTTCTTTTACCTTCTCTTATTTCTGTCTCATTTCTTATGCCATCCCCGACATCTTCAATGACTATCTCTCTTTTTCTCTCCCTTTTTCATCTCAACGTTGAAGTTGCTCCCTTCCTTTGTGGTCCTGTTCAGATGTATCTTCTCTATGAATCCTTCTTTTACCTCCTCAAGTTTCTTATGGTAATTTATTTGGATTTCTCCATTCAGCTTAACCTCTGTCCTTGTGTCACAATTACTTCTTCTAGTCAGGTTGTAAACTATTTGGTAAGCAAGGCAAATGTTGCAGGAGTCTTTTTATCCCCAGCACAAGACATTGAAAATAAATGACTCTTTAATTATGTTTGTTGAATTGAATTGAAATTATTCATGATATACACACATGAGGCTTCTGACCTAAGTAGTCTACAAACTTTAGCTTCTGTATTTTCTTGAGTCTCAACCAGATTTTCTAATATAGCTTTTGCTCTTTTTCACTTTTGCAGTGAGGTGGCTCTTCTGTGTTCATTTAACTTGAAGGATCTTGTCTAATTCTACATAGCATTTCTCTCCTAAATTCTCTCTGAGAGATGTTGGGCCATTAGCTTTAAATTTTTTTTATGGTGGTCTATTTGCTTACGTCATGGTAAACACTGCAAGGCAACGTAAACAAATGTGTCATAAAATGTCATTTCCATGCCTTTGGGACTATGATGGAATCAACTCTCTCCATTCCATTATTCATTTCTTCAACCAAGATTTGTGAGCTTTCTTCCCATTTGGACATAACGTGTATCTCTCTTTTGGATACACTCTCTAAAGAAATTCATGTTTCAGTCTGAGCAATCTAATATCTATGGGAAGGGGAACCTTGTAGTCAATACTCAAAAACAAAGTTCATGTTTTCATGAGGTTCTCTGAGCCTCAGTTTCTTACTGTAAATTGGAGAAAACTATATCTCTAGTACCTTCTTCACAGGTCTGTTTTGAAGATGAAATAAGCAGGTAATGCATGTAAAGTATTTTGCAAACCTTAAAGGGAGGGAGGGAGGGAACAAGCATTTATATAATACTTACTATGTGCTAGGCACTATGTTAAATACTTTTTTACAAACATTATCTCATTTGATCCTCATAACAGCCCTGCAAGGCAGAAGCTAATATTATCCCCATTTTACAATTGACGAAGCTGAGGTAAACATTTTAAGTGACTTATTCAGTGTTACACAGTTACAAATGTTTGAGGCCTGACATAAACTTAGGTTTTCCTGACTATAGGCTCACTGCTCTATCCA